TCCATCCACTTTAAATTAAGGGACTAAAAATGTTTATATTTAGATAAATTTAACAAAATAATTGATAGAAAAACTAAAAAAAATGAAAAATGGACTAAAAAAGTACATAAAAAAGTTAAAGGATAAAAATTATATATGACATTAAAGTTGAGGATCAAAAATGAAATTTACCCTTTTAAATTTGAATTTGAATTGTACGGACAGCTTCTGTGTATGGCAGTTGCAGCCTTTGAAAAAGCCCTTAGCCCAAAATGACGTCGCTTTGGGCTAGGGGAATCCTTTTTTTTTTTTTAATTTGTAGTGTGTACTGGCCGAAATTCCGGTGAACCGGCTGGTACATCGAATTTTGACCAAAATGACCAGATTTTGACCGAAACGAAAACTAACATTATACCGTTTCGGTTAACTGTCAAAACCGATACGGCCGGTACGGTACGGTTTTGACTTCTTTGGCAGAAATCCTTGTACAAAAATTATTGTTTTGTCGCTTTCCAAATGACAATTCAGTGGTTGATCTTGCTAGTGCAAAAGCAAGATCAACAAGGCGCTTCATTGTATCCTACAGGCATTTCGGGTTACTCCTTTTGCATACCAGATCTAGTGGGGGTGAAATTAGCCTAAAGGAAAGTGGCATTTGCAACAAACCTTGCAGCCATTTGCAGATTTTCTACCCTATTTCTTCAACGATCTTTAGGCTAAATTTTCTGTTTTGCAATTATGGCTGCAACTTTGCGTTAGATGGCTACTAATTTCTAGAAGTTAGATCGCTTTGATGGGGGCAACTTTATTCGATGGCAATGCAAGATGCACATCCTTCTCACAACTCTCAACATCGTTTATGTTCTCACTGATGCTCGACCAGAGGAAAATGAGAATGAAACTTTGCAAGATACAAGGAAAAGGAAAAAGTGGGAGAATGATGATTATGTCTGTAGGGGCTGCATCTTAAATGGTATGTCTGATTCCCTTTTTGATACTTATGTTCATGAGTCTACTGCAAAAGAACTGTGGGATAAGTTAGAAACAAGATATATGAATGAAAATGCAACAAGTAAGAAGTTTCAGGTGACCAGATGGAATAATTATAAAATGATTGATAACAAATCAGTCATGGAACAATTTAGAGAAATTGAAAAATTGCTGACTAGTTTCAAGCAATATGATATGAAGATGGATGAATCCATAGTTGTGTCTTCAATAATTGATAAACTTCCTCATGCATGGAAAGATTTCAAGAGAACATTAAAACACAAAAAAGAAGATATTTCTCTTGAAAATCTTGCTAACTCTTTAAGACTTGAAGAGCAATATAGAGTAGAAAATGAAAAGGAGCAAAAATTGCAAGTCTCGGATGTGCATGTATTGGAGGAAGGAACTTCAAGCAAGCCCAAAAAGCCTTTTAAGAAGAAGGAGTATTCTGTCAAGCAAAATCAGAAATTTAAGAAGCAAAAGGATGCATGTTTCCATTGTGGAAAAACTGGACACTTCCAAAGGGAGTGTTATTTTCTCAAGAAGAAAAGGAATGCACCAGCATTATCACATGAAAAATTCATTGCTGTGATTTCTGAAATTAATCTCATGGAAGATGACACTGCTTGGTGGATAGATTCTTGTGCTACGAAGCATGTTTGCAAGGACAAAAGTATATTCAAAACTTTAAAACTAGAACCTAAAGGAAGTGTGCTGTATGTGGGAAATTCTGCAACAGTACAAGTGGGCAAAGGAACCGTGGACCTTGAGTTCAATTCTGGAAAAGTTCTCACTCTCACTAATGTGCATTATGTGCCGGATATCAAGAAAAATCTAGTTTCAGCAAGTTTGTTGAACAAATTTGGTTTTAAACTTGTATATGAGGCAGATAAATTTATTTTGTCTAAGGGTGGGATTTTTGTAGGAAAAGTTTATGCTTGTGAGGGCATGTTCAAGATGAACATTAATAATAATATTAATAATAAGGGTGTTGTTTCTACTTATATTCTTGACTCATTTAATTTATGGCATCATAGATTAGGACATGTTAATTTTAGGAAGATGTATGAGATGTCTAAATTAGAATTAATTCCTACCTTGCCTAAAAATGAATCACAATGCAAGACATGTATGCTTACTAAGATTACTAGAATTCCTTTTCCTAAGATTGAAAGAGTTTCTAAATTGCTCGATCTTGTGCATAGTGATGTTTGTGACATGCATAGTACTCCTACTATTGGTGGCAGGAAATATTATGTTACTTTTATTGATGATTATTCAAAATTCTATTATGTTTACTTGTTAAATATAAAAGATGGAGCAATGGAAAAATTCAAAGTTTATAAAGCAGAAGTGGAATTGCAAAGTGAGACATTTATCAAATGTCTAAGAACTGATAGAGGTGGGGAATATTATGATCCATCTTACTTTGAATCCACTGGAATTATCCATGAGATAACAGCCCCATACACACCACAACAAAATGGTGTGGTAGAACGTAAGAATAGCGTTTTAACTGAAATGGTGAATGCCATGTTATCAAATTCCGATTTAAGTCTAGGTTTTTGGGGTGAAGCATTGCTAACAACATGCCATATATTGAATAGGGTGCTTACTAAAAAAGGCCAAGTTATCCCATATAAACTTTGGAAGAAAAGAAAACCAAACCTTCACTATTTAAGAGTTTGGGGTTGTAGAGCAATTGTAAGAGTACCTGAACCCAAAAGGAAAAAATTAGGCGAAAGAGGAATTGAATGTATATTTTTGGGGTATGCAAAAAATAGTAAGGCATACCGATTTATGGTCATTGAACCAAATGATTCAATTAATGTCAATACCATAATTGAATCAAGACATGCTATCTTTGAAGAGAGCAGATTTAATTCAATTCCTAGACCTAAAGAAACAGTTGTTGAAAGTTCAGAACAGAGAATAGAAGACAACTGGGAAGAAAACAAGTTGGAAGAAAACAACGAACTTAGAAGAAGCAAAACAGCTAGAAAAGCAAGAACATATGGTCCAGAATTTTACATGTTTCTTATTGAAGGAACAAGAGAAAAGACAAGAAAAGTAACTAAATTTTGTTATAATATAGAAGCTGATCCTGTGACATTTGAAGAAGCAATTAAGTCACAAGATTCAGCTTTTTGGAAGGAAGCCATAGATGAGGAAATGAGTTCCATAATGGGAATAACACATGGATTTTAGTGGATCTTCCACCAGGTTACAAACCTATAGGTTGCAAATGGATTTTCAAAAAGAAACTGAAAGTTGATGGCATAATAGACAAATTCAAGGCAAGATTAGTGGCAAAAGGCTATTCACAAAAGCATGATATAGATTATTTTGATACCTATGCTCCGGTAGCAAGGATTGCCACTATAAGAGTATTAATTGCTTTGGCATTAATTTACAAATTGGTAATTCACCAAATGGATGTTAAAACAACATTTTTAAATGGTGAATTAGATGAAGAAGTATACATGGAGCAACCAGAAGGGTTTGTGATGCCTGGTCAAGAAAAGAAAGTTTGCAAGCTTATAAAATCCTCGTATGGACTTAAGCAACCCCTAAACAATGGCATCAAAAATTTGATGAAGTGGTGCTTGCTAATGGCTTCAAATTAAATGAAGTAGATAAATGTGTTTATAGCAAGTTTAAAAATGGACAAGGTGTTCTTATATGCCTATATGTAGATGACATGCTCATCTTTGGTACCAACATAGAACAAGTTGAAGAAACCAAAAGGTTCTTGTTTAGAAACTTTTCCATGAAAGATATGGGTGCTACTGATGTGATTTTGGGAATAAAAATTCATAGAGATGGTGATAATTTAATCCGTTCTCAGTCCCATTACATAGAAAAAATCTTGAAGAAATTTAATTTTTATGATTGTGCAATTGTTTCTACACCTTTTGTTCCTAATGTAAGGTTAACATCTAATGATGGAAAACCAATTGCACAATTAGAATATTCAAGAGTGATTGGATGCTTGATGTATGCAATGATTTGCACAAGACCAAATATAGCATATGCTGTTGGGAAACTTAGTAGATACACAAGTAATCCTAGTTCTTTACATTGGCAAGCAATACATAGAGTCTTGAAATATCTCAAGAAAACTATGTGTTATGGCATTTGCTATAATGGTTATCCTTCGGTGCTAGAAGGCTTTACGGATGCTAGTTGGATCACGAATCATAAGGATCATAAATCCACAACTGGATGGATTTTCATGCTTGGTGGGGGTGCTGTTTCTTGGGGATCCAAGAAGCAAACTTGCATAACAGACTCCACCATGGCAGCTGAGTTTATTGCCTTAAACTCTACATGTAAAGAAGGGGAATGGTTAAAAGATTTACTATATGAAATTCCTTTATGGCCAAAGCCAATGTCCCCAATCTCAATACATTGTGATAATAAGGCTACATTAGCAAAAGCTTATAGCCAAGTATATAATGGAAAGTCTAGACATATTGGTCTAAGACATAGTTATGTAAGGCAATTAATTGTTGATGGCGTAATCACCATAGACTATGTGAAGTCTAGTGAAAATTTAACAGATCCTTTAACAAAAGGATTAACAAGAGAAAAAGTATATAAAACATCTATAGGGATGGGTCTCAAGTCCATTGATAAAAGTCACACATGATGGAACCTCGACTTAACGCTTGATAAAAACTTCAAGTCTTGAGCTCAATGAGTAAAGTACATTATATGAATGTGACTGCAAGTACTCCATTTATTAATAATACCATCCCAAGTGGAAGAGTACTTGGTAACCGTATGAAATAAAAAAGAGGTTGAGTTTTACTCTTAATAGGTCCTATAACAGATTTCTATTAAAGTGCTTAATGCGGTAGCACGTTTGATGGGATCTACCTATATCAGTGGAAGTGGTGCCGCTTCTAGGAGTTGGGGACTTGACTCTAACAGCACTCATGAAAACGATACATGACACATGGCTAGTTTTTGTGTTGGTGGATGTTGAATTCCTTTTTTGGAAAGCTTGAAGTCTTGTGTGTGACATGTGCCCAATTAATCACTTAGAATCGCTGGTTCAAAGCATTAGTCTACCATGTAGTTCTGATTAATTTGCCAACACATGTTCACTAAGTGAAAGGTTCAAATCGTAAGATACCTTCATGTATGCATAAGATTTCCAAAACAATTGGTGGGCTATTCTATTTTGAAAATGGTGGGGGAATGTTGAAGAATTTTCAAAATATTTCCAAGATTTGGGTTCGAATCACAAAAAGTTGATTCGAAGCAATTGCACAGAATACATTTGAGAAAGTGTAACTTTGGTTCGAATCGTAATTCTATGATTCGAATCATTTACGTAAAACCAAAATCCAAAAAGTTACGATTTTGATTCGAATCACATTTTTCTGGTTCAAACCATTTACATCAGAATAAGAGATAAAATTCAGATAAGTTTCTGAAGAGAGTGGATAACTTTGGAAGGCAAGGAAACACGTCATTTGGAGTTCAAATCAAACCAAATGACTTTTGGAAGAGTTTTCAACGGATAAATTTCATGAAAACTCAATTATTATCCATTAATAAACTGATAATAACTGAAAAGGAGTGTCTATTCACAACAAACATCTTGCCCCTATAAATATGAAGTTATCTCTTCTTCTTCTTTGTCTCTTGAGCCTAGAAACAAATCCCTACTATTATCTAAATAAAATAGCCCCTTTTTGCACTTCAATTGCTGTAGAAATCCTTGTACAAAACTATTGTTTTGTCACTTTCCAAAGGATGGTTCAGTGGTTTATCTTGCTAGTGCAAAAGCAAGATCAACAAGGCACTTCATTGTATCCTACGGGCATTTTGGGTTACTCCTTTTGCATACCAGATCTGGTGAGGGCGAAATTAGCCTAAAGGAAAGTGGCATTTGCAACACGCTTGAAAGCCATTTGCAGATTTTCTACCCTATTTCTTCAACAAATACATCAGCAACAAGCTTCACATTGCTAATTCTTTAACAACATACCCCTCGCTGTTAAAGATGGAGTTTCACTGACATAGCTCATGTAGCTAAAAAAGTCACTGGAGTCGATCACCAGAATCTTTCACTTTTTTTAGCAACATACTCCTTGTTGCTGAAAGTATGGTTTCACCAACATAACTCATGTTGCTAAAAATACTTACCAAATCCGACGATCGGAATTGCGACATCTTTTTTAGTAACATGTCTCTTGTTGCTGATACTTTATTTTCAACAACAAGTGCCTTGTTGCTGATAATCTCATGAATAGTAGTAAGTCACCCCACTTTTAGCAACAAGTCCCTTGTTGCTGATAATCTCATGAATAGTAACCACCCCACCTTCAGCAACAAGTGCAATAAGTTCCTTGTTGCTAATAATCTCATGAACTTTCAGCAACATAGGCTTTGTTGCTAATTACTTTTTTGAATTCCACCCATGCCATTTTCAAGAATGTATCTCTTGTCGGTGATGTTTAAGAATGCTTGAAAAAAAAATTATAAATCCATAGATTTATTCTACTAATATTCTAAACAATACTTATTCTTTAGTTTCATTTATATGATAAAAATTAAATTACATTAATTTTATACTATCATTATTAAATTTAACATTAACACAATATTTAAATATAAAATTCAGTTTTGTTTAATAATCACCTAATATTAAATCTCTTGATAGCTCACATACAATATAATTAATTATAACTATAAAAATAATTATAACTAAATAATTAATATTTATTAATTAGATATCATTTATAAATTTTTAGAATAATTCATTTAAAGTAAATAACTCAAGCCAATTAATGTGTCATTAGGCATCTTACCAAACTTGAATTTTTTACTTTATAGAGAATTACTTACAAAACAAACAAAATATCAAATTAATTAATTACTATATATATAAAATTATTAATAAATATAATAACTTCCAAATAAATTGAAACCTATTTAATCACATAATATTTATAAAAGCTTTCATACAATAAAATCACATTATATGCTTCAAGAGAATGAAGTAATTGATGGAAATTTATTCAATTATTAATATATGTATGAGAATTTCATGATAAAAGAGAATAAGTAAAATATACATACTAGAGATT